CTCCTGTGCCTTGTACATTAATATCTAAGTTACAAGCAAAAATGGAAATGGCATTTGTAATTTGACTAAAATATGCTCAGCTTTTGAAATTATGCTTGCATCTTCAAAGACATTTTATGAATTTCATTGGATTGTAAAGAGTGGTCTCAATTTTTTAAGATTTTGAGTATGGTATTTCCAAAGGAAGATACAGGTTGAAGATCCCTAACCTGAAAATCCAAAATCTAAAATTTTTGAATGCTGATATGATGCCAAAATTCCACATCTGACCTCATGTGATGGTTGTAGTCAAAACTTTGTCTCATGCACACAATTATTACAAATGTTACCTTTAGGCTATGTATATAAGGTATATATGAAACAAATGAATTTCATGTTACCTTTAGGCTATGCATATAAGGTACATATGAAACAAATGAATTTCATGCTTACACTTGGGTCCCATCCCCAAGACTCATTATGTATATCCAAATATTCCAAAATCAGAAAAAAATCCCAAATCAAAAACACTTCCCGTCCCAAGCATTTCGGATAAGGGGTGCTCAACCTTCCCAAGGTGAATGTGGAGAAACTACAGTACAGGCTGGTTTCCATTATACCTCCTTTGCTGCCATCTAGTGACAGTTTTATGTAATGTAAAATGTCAAAAGCCCATGTCTTCATGGGACTATTTCCTTTGCCTGTCCATTGCTCTAACTGGGCTGGAAATGCTTCCAGTAGAGCCTGCAGATTTAATGTGCTGGTCTGCATCGGTGGTGGTACTCAATCTCCTCAGGAAAACCTACTGAACTTGACTCTGGGTCCTGTAGGAAGCGAGGCAAGCTGACCTCTGAAAATGACAAGTGTGGTCCAACTACAGCACAAGCAAAAAGTCATTAGGGCATCGTGAAAAAAGCCAGCCCATTATCGAACAAATATACGTTTACATTGCAGCCAAATAAATTATAGTGAGAAATGAGTCTTTTCCATAAATATGTGCTGTCATATGTATACATTATTTCATAGTTTTGGCACTATATCTTTGGGAGCAATCCCTAGAAGCATAATTTTTGGATCAAAGGGTAAATGCATAAATAAATCTTCTAGATAGTGCCAAATGCCTCCCTCAGTAGGGGTTGCACCATTTTGTACACCCCTTCAGTGTATGAGTCTGGCTGGTTCTCCACAGCCTTAGGCATGGCAGATTTTACACTTCTGCACTTTTGTTACATAAAAATTGATGTCACTGTAGTGCTAGCTTGTTTCTCTTATTGTTTCAGTCAAGGTCCAGCCAGGAAAAGAGAAACCAGACCAATTATTTTAATAGATAAAATTGAATAAAGGTACTATAAAAGATTAAACACAAATTGGTGGACCAAACAAGCAGAAGAAAGCATGGAAATAATAGAGAGATAGTATTAGGAAGTAGAGTGATACATTACATAAGTTACTTGGTACTATAAACTTGGGCCCATTTCTGAAATGCTCTATAATTTAATCAATAGCAACATTTATTACAAAGATAATTCATAAAAAGCAATTTACAACTAAGTCAATTCATGTATAGTGATGCAAAAGCTCTAAATAAAATACTATTAGATATTATAACATTAGAATTATAAAATGCCATTACTTAGTAGGAATATATTGTAAAATTTATTTTGATACCATTACCAACTATTAGGATCAAAGCAGAAAAAAATTATCATCTCATAAAATAACAATAAGTTTAATCTTGCTTGTATTCAAAGAAATGCAATGTTTCCAAGCAATAGTGCTGTTTGTACCTGGTTTTACTATAAGAAATGCAACTATGAATTGTATTTTTGTAGTTCTTGTCTCTTATCATTCAGCTGTTAAATTTATCCATTTCAAACTGGAGTGGATTATTTTGTACCCTTTCTGGAAAAACAAAAAACAAAAACAAGAAAAACAAAAAAGTAATTACTTTACCAGATAAGTAATAGTGCTTTATCTAAAAACAACAGAAAAGAATCTCTGGGTTGAGTTTTTCTACAGAACTCTGAATTTAACAAGTAGCCCATTACAGTTTTCCCTAAATAAAATTAAAACAGATAGTTCCCAAGTCACTAGGGTGATGAAAAATAGAGTGTCAATCCCATTTTGAAATCCCCGTAACATCTCTAGGGTTACATTACCATCTACAGCACTCACGTGGGACCTGGAAATCAGTTCATGAGGACTGCGATGGGAGGTTCACTTGTCCAAGCTGGTCTGTCCATTTGAACCAAAGAGGGGCCGGGGACAGGAGGTTCTTGCTCTTGGAGGGGAGTCCTCCTGGCACCCACTTACGACTGGCCCAGCCACACTCTCCCTCTGCCAGCCAGAGGGATGCTTATCCCTTTCTCCAGGTCTGAAGAAGGAATATCAGCCTCAGGACTGATTTCAGATTCCGGAAGTGATGTCATAGTACATTCCAGCCTTCCGTGAGTGGACTTTTAACCCAGAGCCACAGATTCACAGGACACGAATACAACACAAACAAGTTTAATGCTGCCTTTAAGGCCCAGTAAGGAAGTGGTGGGTCCCTAGGGAAAAAAAAAAAGGGAGAGGAAGTACTACCATTTCTTGCCACTTGCCACTACAGACAGGATGCTGGGTGAACAGAAAGGGAATGTGGGGAAGCAGTGTTTCCCAACTCTGGATCCTCACAAAGCTGACTTTTCTCTTCAGGCTGCTCAAAGGATAGAGTTGTTGATGACTGGGTCCTGAGAGGACAGAAACAGCAGGATGGGTGTACTGGTCAGGACAGGCTGGGTGGCACATACTGTGGCATCAAATCTACTCTGAATCTCAGTGGCCTAACTCAGCAGTTCATTTCTCACTCATAGATGTCCAAAGCAGGTTGGCAAGGGGCTCAGGAACTACCTAGAACATCCGCTCCACTATGCCTGGGTAGGAACATGAAGAATCACACCACAGCTTTAAAAAGCATTATTAAGTCAAATGGAGAACTAGTCGTTTCTCACCCTGTAAAAGTACCAGGAAATGTGGGGGAGCACTTGGGTATTTGCTCACCAAATATCCCTTTCCTTCTTCCACACAGAACATATTCATATTCCTTTTCTCCAAGGAAGACAACTTCAAATCCCATACAGTTACCACTGCAATCTGAAAATCCAAGATCTCTGGGTTGTCTCTAGATGTGCCTGACTCTGTCTCCCATTAGTTCAGAGCCCTCTTAACCCAAAAGAGCCTGTAACTGTGCTCCTCTCCACGTCCCCAAATATGGTGAAGGAACAGAGTAATGCACCACCATGCTCAATATTGAGTAAGAAGCAATATTGAATAAGAAACATACCCTGATCTGTGGCAATTCTGGTGTCCTGAAAGACATACTGCTTAATTATTTTGAATAGCACTCTTGTGAGACAGCACTGTGGTTGCTGCCAAAATGGGCAAATTCATGAATTTAAGAGTGAAGTTGGTCCTAGTCAGAAACTACTCCAGACACAAAATTAGTAAAATAATATCAATGGTACACCCTCAAAAGAGCCCCATATCCATGACCCTGCCAATGAGTGACGTGGCTATGAGTAACAAAGCAGTTAAAGATCAAGTCTTCTGTAAACGACAACTGCAATCACCTTATACTTACAAAACACTTTGTGAATATCTTGTTGAATAAAATCTGTCAACAAGGCCACCTTCTATGACCCTGCACTCATATGCAAGGCCAAGAGGGAGGCAAAGTTCAAGACTGAGGAATCAAAAACATGCAAAACAAGTGATTCTTCCAAAAGCTTTTAGATTTACTGTCTAAATCATTAAAACAATTTCTCAGAAAAAAGAAACAAACAAAAGGTAGTAGTATGCAAAATATTTATTTTTATGAATGTGTCATTAATACAGCAGGAACTAATACGATTATAAAAGATACAAAAAAATCAGATGAATGTTAGCATTCAATAGAAATTAAAACCTGAGCTGAAGGCTGATCAGAATGTCTGACACCTGGCACCATTCTGATGGACGTTAAGAAACATGATTGCTAGACTTCTTAAACGATTCATGAAATGAAGAAAAAGTTAAATTTCAAAGAAGCTACAATGTACTGACACATTAAATCACTTATGCTGCTGACAAACATTTAAGATAAGCAGGGTTATCTAAAGCTCACAGTCTTGAAGGCAGGGAGATATGTAAATTGTAGATTTTTAATTAGCAAAAAACAAGCTGATATTTTTGTTGGTAAAATATGGTTTGTTTATTCATGTGTATCTAAAAGGCTGGCTCAGTTTGCCAGAGCACAAAGGAATGCCAAGAGGTCAAGGGCATGGGGATGGATCAACATAAATCCATCCCAATTTCTGGAAAACCAGACACAGCAGTAAAGTATTAGTAGGAACAGGAGACTTGAGGTTCAATTCAGTTCTCACTTTGGATTCTGTAGTATCTCTTACTATGAAGTTGGTAAAAACAAAACAAAACAAAACTTCCTACTCCTTTAATTAATAACTATCCATAGCAGAAAGGAAGAAACAAAAGAAAGCTAACATAGAGTTATGGGCCTTGATTAAAAATCTGTGAACTTGAATACATTTTAATATGTTGAATCTTGAGTCATACTTATAAACCAATGGTTAATATACTATAAAATTTTACAAACATAAAATCTCATCAGTTGTAGAACTTCAAAACTAATGGAATTAATTTCTTCTCCCTTTTATTTTTCTTTCCACAAAATGTCCTAAAATTGAGTAATCATCAGCATGCCTGCACTTTCACAAATTTGTCATTAAAACATGATGGTTTTTGTCAAAATAATGCAGGAAGCAATTTCAAATGAGGGCAAGGATCTTACATAATCTTAAAACATATTTTTAGTTCTTTGTGCTCCATGTGACATAAAAAAGAAATGAGGGCAGCTCGACTCCTATAGTTTCTTTCAGTCTAATAATGTCAATAAATTCCCAATGTCTCCATGCTAGGAAAGGATCCAGTATTTAAGTGCTCTACTCTAAAGCATCTAAATTAGATTGCTTTTATTTGTTACTACCTTTTTTTTTAAGGAGGGCTAAAGCAGTGCCCCTTACTTAACGCAGACGAGACACTGATTTCCTTCCTGTACCAGCTTTCCAAGAAGATAAGTGAGTTTTCGCCCTGATATTTTTACCCCGGGTTTTACGAGGCTTCTCCTCTTTGTGCACCTTCATGTGCTGCCTCAGATGAGAGCTCTGGCTGAAGCATTTGCCACATTCACTGCACTGGTATGGTTTCTCCCCTGTGTGGGTTCTCTGATGTTGAATAAGGTGGGAACTCTGGCTGAAACATCGGCCACATTCATCACACTGATAGGGTTTTTCTCCAGTATGAATTCTCTGGTGCTGAATGAGATTGGAGCTCTGTTTAAATCTTTCTCCACATTCATCACATTTATAGGGCTTTTCCCCAGTATGGATCCGTCGATGCTGAATGAGATTAGAACTCTGAAAGAAACTTTTCCCACAATCAGCACATTTGTAGGATTTCTTTCCAGTATGGATTTTCTGGTGTTGAAAAAGAGTTGAGCTCTGACTGAAGCTCTTTTCACATTCAGTACATTTATAGGGTTTGTCATCCAAGCTTCTTCTCAGTCTACTCAAGCTTGAGTCAAAACGAACAGTCATTCCCCATTTCTGCCGCTGCCGGCCTGTTTTGCGCTTGTTCTCATAGGCTTTTCCTTGGCTTGAGCTCCGAGAAATACCCCCTTTAGGTTTTCCTAACTTCATGGTGAACAGACAAAGTACTTGTAAGTGAGTGTACTGTCTTCTTCTGAACTAATGTTTCATTCTCTAGAGCTACAAAGTTCAGAATTTTTTTGCCTGTAGAAGAAAAAATAAGAAGCAAATTACAGATGACCTGCTAATTACTCAACTTTCATCTTTTTAACCCATGACAGTTGCATTCATGCTTAAAGATGCACTCAATACAAATGCAAACAAAAACAATTCTGGGGGGAAATATCTGCAAAATAATTCCAAAGTTTAAGCTTAGTAAATATCACCAAATTTTTACTGCATTTACTTTTGGAATTTTTGTCTATTGGGATAGGATTAAAAAAAGTGATGAGGTGAAATATAAATATTTTAGGCATTATCAAATGAATATATAATTGTGAAGGATTAAAAAGTAGAGACAATAAAAATCTTAATGGAATAAAAGAAATAACTCCAAAAGACAATCAAAATTTATGTAACAAAATATCATTATGTTTTAGTATTTACTCCCATGTTAAACTTCTACTCACTTACTGATGACTATTTAATTAAGGTGTCCAAATTGGAAAGAAATGACAAATTATATTACTTAATGATATATTCCTGTTTATCTTCATTTGTTTAGCTATTTTATTTCCATAGCTATAGATGACAACTTGGTCTAATTCTGCAGCATAAAGTGTTTTGAAAGTAGGAACTACTCTATAAGGAGTGGTAGGTTTTCTGAGTCTATGAAAAGATGTCTTATTACTTTTTCTAGATTCTAATGATCCATGAAAGAAAATAATTCATTAAAAACCTGAAACAAAAGTATTGTTTTTGGAGAGAGATAAACTCCAAAAAAACTTTTACCAGATGGTAGAATAAAAGCATAGTAGGTGGAATACAAGAAAATGAGAGGAGCAGAAAGTAACTTTACATGTAAAAGTAGGAAGAAATTTTTAAAATTCCCAAATGCTGCAAAATTCAGTACTTCAAAAAGTTGTGTTTATTTATTTATAAGGTTGTCTTGAGTTATTTAAAATAATAGCCTAAACAAACAAAAAATCCCACAAATTCAAAATAGGTGGCAATGTGTGAGAAACTAGGACTGCAAAAGTAATAAAAGTATTGAAACTATTTTCCATTATTTTGTGTCAGGAAGTAGATTTTAAAATAGGAACAATTACCCTGGGTTTCTCTGTATACAAGTATATAAGGCAAATAAATGAAAAAACAAGTAGCATCATTTTCTTGCCTTTCTTTCATCTTACTGTATAATTAAGACTTTAGACCCAAGATTTTATCTGGATATTTAATAATTATACCTACTGTAATATGGTCAGTGTAACAGTAAGCTGCATATGACAGAAAATTACAGAGTGAGCACTACCCATTCCTTAAGCAAATATTTACAGAATGTTAGGTACATGGTATTGGCATTAAAAAATAGCTATAATGACAATTACAAATATTTTTTAAAGCATATGCATTTCTGAAGACCAACTCAGCAGCAGGAAGTGCAGAGAGTATCAAATCCTCCTACGGATGGGGAAATCATACTAACATGTAGCTTATGTGCCAGACATTGTGCTAGTTCTTTAATTCTCAAAATAGCTTTATGCAATTATCTCCATTTTAAGCTAAGGAAAGGAGGGCACAAGGCACACAGGCCGGGTTCCCTGACTGCAGAGCCTGTACTCTCAGTGGCAGAAAGGCCGTTCACGGCGCCAAGTCCAGCACTCCGACGGTGCTCGCATAAGGCCCCAGCAGGCGCGAGCACTGAGGCAAACTCCAGTGCCAGGAGCTACTCGTCCTATAACCCTGGCTAACGGGAATGTGCCTCAGTTTCCTCGTACGTAAAACTAGGATGTGATAAAGCAGCAACAGCATCAGGATGTTAGTAGTTTAGATGAGTCAGTACGTGTAAATCACTCAGCAGCCCCGCGCTGCCTAAGCGTTCGTTCATTACACTAAGTACTTAAGCGCAAGGAGGGAGGACAGACGCTCAAGGCCGGTCCCACCCGCCTCTGGCCCCAACCTCCGGGTCCCGTTAAGGCCTCTTTCCTGCCAAGGCCTCCGCCGGCCGCGGGCCGACCCCGGGCCCGCTCGGCCCTCCGCCCCGCCCGGCGGCCCGGCCAGGACCAGCTCGGAGGTCCGGGTCGCCCGCCTCGCTGCCCAGCTGCCGCCGGCTGGCGCCCGCACGGCCCAGAGCACCCGGCCGCGGGCCCCGCGCGCCCCAGGCCCACTCACCGCGGACGGCAGCCACCTCGCTCCTGGTCGCCGCGCGCGCCGCCGGAAGTGCGGGCCGCGCGTTCGCCCGCGCCGCCGTGGTCGGTCTAGGAACGTGGCGGAACGACCCTCTATGGTCCCAGGCCCTCCTGAAAGAGTTTTTGTTCGTTTTTCATGTTGTTTTGTTTTATCCTCCCGCCCCTCGGAAGGCGTCCCATGACCCCCAGGACCTCAAGACCTGTGGCTGCCTCGGTTTGTGGTCCAGCAGCGGCGTGTCAGGCCTTTTGAAACCAAACACTAGCCTGTCCAACCTGGAAACTACATTTTTTCCCTACAAATATTGAGCACCTGGTATAAAGAGATACTGTTGGGGAGCCTAAACTGTTCCTGACTTTTTTCACAATGTCACCTTATTTAATTATTACCAAAAAACCGCTGCAAAATGGGAATGATTACACTTAATCTACAGAAAAGGAAACCAAGGCTTAGAGAAGAACTTAGCTCAGGTCCACACTGTGTAAGTGGGGCTTGGACGACCCGGGATTGGAACCGCACTTTTCGGCTCCACAGTCTCTTGGTTTTCGACACACCCCTCTTGTTTCTCCTTAGTAATGATCTCTCTTGGTTCTTTCACCTTACAGGTCCTCCTCCTCAGCGTACCTGGCCGGTGCTCAGGCATCTGACCATCTGACCTGTCCTCTCTGAGCTCGCCTCCCGGCCCCCACCTCCACCCCCACCCCAATTCCTCCAGTCTGATGGCTTCGGATACTATCAATGTGTGATGAAGACTCCTGCGTTTGTAACTCCAGTCTGCTTGTGGCATGCAAATATTGAACTCCAGACTTGTATGTATATCCCATTGATTACTCAGTAGCTGCATTCACATGTGTAGTGGATATCCCAAACCTAACAAATCCCAAAACGAATTCTTGATATTCACCTAACGTGTACTTTCAACAGTCTTCATCCCAGCAATAGACAGCAACTTCATTTTTTCAGTTGCTCAGGCCAAAAACCTTGATGTCATTGTTGTCTCTTGTTTTTTCACCCCAAACCCACATGTGATCCACCTGCAAATTCTGTTAGCTCTATCTTTAAAATATATTCATTATCAAGCTATTTTCAACACTTCCACTGCTATAACCTCTACCAAGCCACCACCATCTCCTGTCTGGATTACTGTATTGGCTTCCTGACTGATTTCCTTACAGTCTACTCCCAGCCTCACAGTAATCCTTTCAAAACCTAAATCAGACCATGTCATTCATTTGTTCAAAACCCTCCAAAGGCTTTCCGTCTTGTTAGAGCAAAACCCAACAACCTGACAGTGGCACACAAAGCCTGTCGTGATATGTCTCTTATGTTCTTTATCACGTCTGCAGTGCTTAGAGCATTGCTGAGAGGGTGCCAGACACTCAGTAAATATTTTTTGAATGAAGGAATTTTTAAGATGCCTCATTGTTTACGAAATGCCTTTACATCTATCCTCTGATCATTCATCTTTACTGTAGTCTCATGAAGCAGGGATCGTAGGATCTGTCTTGCATATCAGTAAAATGAGGTGAGAGAGGGAAACTTGTCTGGTGTGATAAAGTGAGTTGTTGGTGGAGGCTAGACGAAATCAAACGTGTTCCCACTCCAAAGCTGGGGCTTTCTGCTCTGCAGGGAGCTTCCTTGCAGATGGCAAAGCATGGAGCTGAATGAAGTCTGCACAAGGAAGGTCCACTCAATAATCTAGATAATAGCGGGGTTATTGTCAAGATCAGATGAGGTAGTAGTGTAAGGCACTTAGCACAATGCATAACACACAGGAATGTGAGCCGTCACTATGACTTTTACCACTGAATTATTATCACAGGTTGTTAATGCTGGTGGTTGGAGGGTGAGGGTAAAGGGCAATGGCCAGAGACCCAGAGATGGTTTAGGAAGAGTTTAAAGAGCAAAAATGACCTGTTTGGGACTGAGCTCTGTGTACATTAAAATAAAAAGATAATTATGAATTAAAACTCTTTCCATTTCCCATGTAAAGGTGGTTATCTCTTTTTTCTATACCTGAAAATAACTGGGCCAAAGGTAGACAGATTAGAGTATTGGGCAAAGAAAGATGAATTTTTAAGGAGAGAGAGAAGAGTCAGGAAATAAAGGGGTTGGGGGCACTCAGTGGATGGACTAGGAGGTAAGGATGGAGAGATTCAGGAAAGTATATGGGGTAAAGAGAAACAGGAAAAAGAGCAAGAGAGAACATAGGCAGGGGTTTATGCCCTCTATTTATTTATTAGTATAATACTAGTTAACACTTACTGAATGCTTATTGTGTGCTGGGCACTGTTTGAAGCACGTGTAGTATCTCATTTTAATACCCCTGTGGGATCATCGTTCTGGGCATGTGTTCTGCCCTTCTGCGATCTGACATCCCTGCCTACTGCGGTGTGACTCCGGGTGCCTCCTGGTGAGCTGTGTGCCCAACCCACTGATGTTGACTTGACCACGTGACTTGCATTGGCCAACTGCACGGGAATGGATGCAAAGTACACACCCTAGAAGCTTCAAGTCACTGTGCTTCCACCAGGATTCTGCTATTTTCCTCTGCCTCAAGAACGGCATGTCCTAAGTAGGGGCTGCTCCTCTGGTCTAGGATCCAGAATGAGAAGACACATGAGGCAGAGCCAGATAAGCCCCCTATAGCCACTCAGTGGTATAACCCTCATATATGAGAGAAATAAATGTTCTTGTTGTAGCACTGAGATTTTTGGTGTATTTGTGACTGCATTAAAGTTGACTGATACACCTCCCAACAACCCTGAGATAGGAACTGTTATTATCTCTGTTTTACAGATGAGGAAACTGAAGCAACAAACTTGCCCAAGTGACACATTTATAAGTGGCATAGCCAGACTTTGAAGCCGCAGAATGTGGCTGCAGAGCCTGTGCTCTTAACCTCTAAATAACAATGTATATCTCCCACGTGGAATTCTAGGTTATTTTTATGTGACTTTAAGTATTGAAAATGGTCACACATGATACTTACAAAACACAAAGGAGAAGGGGGAAGAGAGTGGGGGCACACAGTCTGAGCATCCAATGGTACATTTTTCTGAGGAATCTGGGCCAGGAGAGGCCAGACCTCTTCATGGCTGGGGCATCTCTGGGAAACTACACAACAGAGGCCACTCTGGGCCTGGTGGTATTTGAGAGGTCTGTTCTAGGAAGAAGAGTCTTCTGGGCCAAGAAAAATCCTGGCAAGACAGTTTCCTTTTCCTATGGCTTTTCCTCTGCACCTGTACTTGCTTGCAGACACACACACACACACACACACACACACACACAGGCACTGTCTCAACGGGGAGCACTGCTGCCTTGGGTCTGAGTTTGGCAACACTGATCCTCAGGCCAAGTGTAAGAAGTCTGGTTGTATGTGTGGCCCAAGTGCAGTAACAAGAGTGGCTCATCCCCCACTGAGGGGTCTGTTCAGCACAGGGGCTGTGAACAATGGTTCTGTCCACCAAGCCTGAGACTTTGCTTTCTGTTTCCTTTGGACTCTCTGGGAAAGGAAGCCCTGGGAATTCCCATTCCTGGGTCTGAGAAAACATCGCTGTTAAAGCCCAACCAGAAGGGCACAGAGCCCCACCCTGCATAATGTGAGTCTTGGGGCACGTCAGCAGCTGGCTTGCTCCCAGATACCTGCAGCTCTTGGGGCCTGAATATAGTTCTTCCGCCTGGCTGTTTCTACTCTTGGAGCTGCTTGGCTCTAATTGACCGAGCTTCCTCCCTGATCACTGAAGAGGGCTGAGGGCAGGGGGGCTGCTGCCCACCACTGCACCTGACAAGGATATCCCACTGCCACCTCTGCAGCCGCGGAGCATGTGTGTCCTATACACAAGGGGCACATTTTGCATTGCTGGTTCCTCCGCAAATCATCTGGTCAGACTGGATATGCCTTGGGCCTCGTTTCCCTGGGACTGAGGGGCCAGATGTATCCTGGGTGAACGCATGGTTTTATTTTGACAGTAGGAAGGTCTTTAGTCCATTTTTTGGTAAACATTTCCAAGCAGGTAGCATATGGTTATCACCACGTAGAAACAAGATGTTTTTTTGATCCCTTCTGGTAATTTGTTCCCAGCAAACAGCCCTGTTTTTCCTGAGTCCAGTTCTTTTGCAATCATGTTGTTTTCATCCTGTGTTGTGTATTACTCTCTTTGGTTTTGAGGCCTGGCTGGAAAGACAGTCCTGTTTTAGGAGAATACTCTCTGATAGGGATATCGCCTTAGCTCTGGCTTCCTTTGTTACCTGAGATGCTAGCTGGCCAAGGAGCATATGAGAAATACCCTAAACTCTATGGAGAAAGAAAACTGGAGCCCTTCACAGAGACCAGCAGGAAACCACAGTGCCTAGATTTTGATATTTGAAGTTGTGGGGTCCAGGCAAGCCTCTGAAAATCAAATATGATATTGATAAAAAGATTTTTGAACCTCTCAGATGACTGCAGAAGTATACCTTTTTCCCTATTCCGTGAAACTTATTAGTGATTTTTATGACCTATGATATTCGGAAATTAGTTTTGACAATGTCTATTTTAAAGGTGACACCTACCTAAAAAGGCCTTAAATAATATTGTAATAACTTGCAAAACAGACAACAACAACAAAAAAACAAACACCAAACAAACCTAACAGGCTGGTGCTTACGAAGGCTTCCTGCTCTAATAGCTGCCGGTGTGCTGGGCCCTGTGCTGCTCCCGGCTGGCAGGTGTCTCTCGCCTACAAAGATCGACTCTGGCTCAATCAGCCCTCCACGCAGGGAGGCTCGCTGGCTCTCGGCTTGGTGGGTCCCCTGACCCTCCCCTGGGTTTGGCCTTCTTCTTCTGATGAGGAGACCCCTGAACACAGGGTAGACTGTGGCTCTATCTTTGTCCCTCCAGGGCACAGGCCTGGCACAAGGCAGTCACTCCATTACAGCCAAATAATGGATGGACAGTTGTCCTAGACCCAAGGTGGTAAATAAGGGGTAGGGGTAAAATTACCAGGGAGTACCTGTTTTGTTCACTTTCTACCCTCTCCTATGCCCTGCCTCCATCCCTTTTAAGCCCCTGCCTGGAAGATTCCCAAGGCCTTCCTGATGCTAAGATTTTGAGATTCGGGGTGGCCCTATTGTTTATTGTCTGGGCTACCTGCAGACCACCCCGGTGACTCCCCTGTGTCCCACGACAGCCTCTCCTCAGGCCCCACACTGGCCCAAGGACACGCACAGATAGGAAGGCACTGAGCTGGTGTCAAGAGCAGTGGGCTATGGCTCCTCTGCCAAACAAGGCCCTGGACACACAGTGGGATGAGACTTTCTGAGGTTGGAGCAGGGGGCAGAGGAGACACGCAGAAGGAAAAAGAAACAGAAAGCTTGGTCCTCATGTCTTCGGGCCGATACAGCACACTTTTATTGAGCACCTAAGGAACTGCCACAGGAGAGCAGAGACAAT